CTAACGACTCACTAACGTCGCATTTAATTGGTTCAATTAAATTCGTCGAATTTAATTCAGACGAATTTAATTGAACCAATTAAATGCGACGTTAGTGAGTCGTTAGACTTGCTCCAAGTCGACCTCCAGGGACACGCGAGAAAAGAACGAACGCGAGCGATATGATATGATATGATATGATATGCGCCGCGCATATCATATTACTTTCAAAAATTCATTCGCATAAATAAGGACGTATTAAAGGCGAGGGACTTTGCGAAAGTCTAGTGCGTCGTATGAAACGAATTAAATCCGTGACGTCTGATGAATTAAATTCGTCCAACACGTTTTATCCGTCATGGTCAGACGGATACAACGTCTGTAGCGCGTCTTCGTTTCATACGACGTGTTATCGTCGTGTCAAATTAAATGCATAAATTATGTTAAAGTCTGTTTCTCTCTTTCTGATCTCGTGGTTTTTACTTCTGGGTAATCCATGATCGCTAGACATGAAATGAATTCGTCTGAATTAAATTCGTCGTTTGAAACGAAACCATTTTAGTGTCGACCAATTGACGAATTTAATAACGAATTAAATTCGTCTGAATTAAATTCGACGTATGAAACAGGCCTTAAGGAGGTGCTGCTTGTAATAAATACAATTAAGTAAATTAAGTGTTTTGCCAAAACAACATTGCGAATTTCACTGTTAAAATTTATTTATCACTTGTGTGGCACCTTCTCTTCTTGCATGCATTAATGCTGTCAGAATATTATACCATCATAAAAATCCATTACTTTGATTTCGAAGTAACATGCAAGTTCAATATATGTATATAAATATCGGCAAACACCTATAGCCTATATAAGTAAACACGTTCAGCTCGTTAGTGAGTTGGCCTTTCTAGTTAAACTTTTCATTGATAGGGTGAATGTCTCTCATAAGCGCATTGGCTAGGATCACAGAGGAAGTACATACAGAGGTCTCAGTTTAGGTTATTTTTTTTAGCGTAAGGGATTTTTTCAGTCCGCCATGTTCTCAGCTAGTGTCCTAAAGAGAGGCCGTCACTCCCCTGAAAACATATTGAAATTTAATGTTCCTTAATGGGGGCGATAATTTCCTCTCTCTTGGGCAGTTGCTAAGAGCATTGATTGCCGCAAGCTAACCTTACGGTTTTCCCGCATAAGATTTTCGTATGTACTTACTCTGTGCCCACTGCCTATCTGAATGTGAACATATCTATACCGGGGAATCATGACAACAAAACCAGAAACCTTAAGATCGAAATTAAGGTATGTTTTATATCATTTTTATAGATTTCTTATATTCGAAAGCACATTTACGATGAAAGTTTCATGCAATTTACTGTTGCCATCTAACATCATCTTGATGTTACTTGGACTGCTGACAGCCAATAAACATTCGCAGAACTGGGAGAAGTTTTTTGAGAAAGATGAGAAAGGTATTCTTTCGATTCTTTAGTGTATCGAGTATCTTATTCTCAACCATGAGGTAATTTTATTCTTACCTCGGTTTGCGTCACTCTGTTTAATATCATATCAAAACTACATATTTTGTAAAAAGCTATTAGGATGATATGACGATTTCACGTTTGGTTGTTAGCCAATCAGAAACTATGAATTGTTTTAAATCACAATCATATTTATCCAACATGAAATGTTCACTGACATCCTGCATGTTGACGAGATGTGAAATGTTTGTGTGTAACTGACGGTTCACTCGTTGAACGGCTGCATGGCTGGTTGTTGTTTTATTGAATCGTTCGGTAAAGGCTTTTATATCTATTTTGATATATAGTCCCAGCTTTGGCTTGGAAAGATATTATATCCAACCACAGTGTCCCTTCTGAGATCGAGTGTTCATTTAACTGTGGTAATGAGCCAACATGTGCTGGATTTAAATACAAATTTGGTACAAACAGTTCATTAGTAAACTGCCAACTCAGCAACACTACTGGCAAGAACAACATGGCAAATTATGATGATCAGGGCTGGGTGTTTTTTATCGATGTTGCAGAAAAATTGGTGCGTGTACTCAAATTACGTGTGATAACTCTTGAAACAATTGCATGTGTGATTCCTTTTCGGATTTTTATCTCCGTGTTTCATTGTTTATATATTTCGTTTTTTCCTATAAAGCTGTAAAATGTACTTGACATATTTAGTACGTCACTTATTATTAGCAAATATACAAAACAAAAAGAAATATTGTTGAATTGGTTTGATACGAAGAGTTATTGTTAACCTAATCTAAGCATTACCTAAAGTTACCTAACCTATAACGGATACTGTAAACTTAGCAGAAATTTGCTCTCCTTTAGTCGAAACGGCCTCAGACACTTTTACTACTGTTTAAACACAAGCAGGAGTACTTTATCAGATATAAAAAACGAAAGCGCAGCTCGAGTATTTTATATCTGATATGAAAGCACTGTTTCCGAGCGTCTTAAATAGCTTAAATAACAACCCATCTAATGAGTTTATTTCAATATTGGCAAAGTAATTTTTTTAAATAAATGTTGTCAGAGCCGAGAAATTAAAATCAAATAAACATAATTTTTTATTATATGATTTCCTATCTCTTTTCCTCACGAATTATTAACGAGTTTTTTTAAATGTATTATATTAATATTCGTTCGTACTTTATAGTTGAAAATGTATTAATTATAGAAACATTACAGTCCTACAACTGAGAAAGAAGTGACAACAACGTCTGGCACTCCTACAACTAAGAAAGAAATGACTACAACGCCTGGTATTCTTACAACTAAGAAAGAAATGACTACAACGCCTGGTATTCCTACAACTAAGAAAGAAATTACTACAATGCCTGGTATTCCTACAACTAAGAAAGAAATTACTACAACGCCTGGTATTCCTACAACTAAGAAAGAAATTACTACAACGCCTGGTATTCCTACAACTGAGAAAGAAATTACTACAACGCCTGGTATTCCTACAACTAAGAAAGAAATGACTACAACGCTTGGTATTCCTACAACTAAGAAAGAAATTACAACAACGTCTGGTATTCCTACAACTGAGAAAGAAATTACTACAACGCCTGGTATTCCTACAACTAAGAAAGAAATTACAACAACGCCTGGTATTCCTACAACTGAGAAAGAAATAACAACAACGCCTGGTATTCCTACAACTGAGAAAGAAATTACTACGACGCCTGGTATTCCTACAACTGAGAAAGAAATTACTACAACGCCTGGTATTCCTACAACTAAGAAAGAAATGACTACAACGCCTGGTATTCCTACAACTAAGAAAGAAATGACTACAACGCCTGGTATTCCTACAACTAAGAAAGAAATTACTACAACGCCTGGTGTTCCTACAACTAAGAAAGAAATAACAACAACGCCTGGTATTCCTACAACTGAGAAAAAAATAACAACAACGCCTGGTATTCCTACAACTGAGAAAGAAATTACTACGACGCCTGGTATTCCTACAACTGAGAAAGAAATGACGACAACGTCTGGTATTCCTACAACTGGTAAGTGCATGCACGCACATTTTAAATTAAATATCTTCATTCTTTAATATTCCGAATTAAAGTTTCTCAAACTTTTCAAAAGTAACCTACTCGTATGTGGAATTCGAAAGACTATATATATGTATCTTGGGCCTTGCATGGCTGCCGCTCTCAAGTTTAATTACACAATATGTTTTGTTG